AAAGAGATTTCCTTTCTTCTGGGAAGCCTAGCTGTCTGCTGTCTTTCTGAGGCACTGGATAATTCTTGGAAGGCCATCCTTCTTAGAATCCAAAAAATCTACCATGAGAGTTTCTCTGAGCCTCATGAGGAAACTCTTTGAATCTTCCCACTTTACTGGTAGATTATTTAGCCCATGCAGTGTGTAAATTTCCTCTTTGCTTGGTAGGTTCCCAAGGTAACTATCTTGCACATTAGACTGAATTTTATAATAATTATTTTTGTTCCCAGTCTCAACATTAAAATTGATATCAAATTATATAAATGTCAATATGTTTCAGAAGTTACAGATCTCCACAGGAGTGCCTCTGCAAACTAGAGATAAAATTTGCCTAATGAACAGATCTGAAGTTACAATGTTGCAATAGGAAGCTTGAGAGAATGACTTTGAAATCATATCCCAATTCATAATTCCAGGTTTGCTGAGCTGCAGAGCTATACTCAGCTCAATTTCAGACCTATAGAAGATGCTAAATGTGACATTGTTATTGAAAAACCAACATATTTCATGAAATTAGATGCAGGTGAGAAGTTAATTTGTCTATTATTTATATGTTTGTTAATGAGGCTTTACTTTTTTTTGCAAATATGTATGTAGTAATTTTCTATGAAGTTTTTGGAAGCAGTAGGACAAGCAGTGGATCTGCTTTTTGCTTTCTTCTTTGAAGAAGTAGGTGAATGAGTTTGAACTTCTCATTATTTTATGCCTTTGGTATTTTAGAAGAAACCTTCACATTATATCAAAGGACTTAATCAAAATCAAAAGATGAGGGAAGAAGGCATATGTATACCTTTTGTAACTAAATTTACCCCACCTGGTTTCTCTAATCATTTGATTTAGATTGTGATTTATTAAAGTTTTTTAAAAATTAAAAGCCATGTGTATAGTATGGGTGGGAAAGAAATGTCCATGACCTCCCCTGGTAAACTTTCTAATATCGTTTTCATGACTAACGTGGACTTAAAATTCTTCTGGAAGTTGCCCCTGGAATATGTTCTTGAACAAAAAATTAAAATTATTTTCCCATTTATGCCTATAGCTTCTGACTTTCAACTTGCAAGCATAGCTTTAACTTTGTGAACTAGTTACCCTGGAGACGAGAAACACAGATTGCACTATATTCTCTCTCTCATTATGAGAGACAGAGATTACTAAGCTATATCATATCAAAATTCATGAGAGGTTGGGCTTGTGGTGAAATATAGAGAGCCCTCTGTCACAAATATTTCAGAATTACTGTAATTTATTGATCATAGTTTTAATGTGCTCTGCCTTCTGAAGTCATAATTCTTCTATCACAAAGCATTAAATTCAGAAATCAGACAAGTTTAGGTTTTTGAAATAAGAGCAAGTAAAACTGCTATGTTCGAGGTTCAGACTCGTTTTTAAAGTATGTAAATTAAAAAAGGGCAAAGAAAACACTTGATCTGCCTGTAAAAGAGGTGAGTATGCGTGAGCTGTTAAATTTATGCAGACACTTATGCAATAAAGTATGTAAAGTGGGAATAATAGGCTAAGGTAGACATGTGCCATTTCTTTTTTATATTCATAACTCTACTTTTTTTTTTTTCCTAACTTCTGCTTTCATCCAGTTTTCCCTTTCATGTTAACTCTTACCTTGGGAGAATGAGCGTTCTACAGAACAAGACTCACGAAGGGGCATGTTTCTTGAGGACAGAGCCTGTGTTTTCTCACTCGTTTATAAGTCCTCGTAGCGCCAAGCACTGCTTTGTGGCTGCTGCATTCCTCAATAAATGCTCGGAACCCGCTAAGTGTTATGTGAGAGAGCTCGTGTGAGCCGTATGGCTAACCTGGGAGAAGTGGATGGGTTTTCAGAGAACTTTATTTTTCGTACTAATTTGAAAATATGCTTTTTGCCAAGATTTTTCGAGGTGGAAAAAATTAGCCCAATCATCTAAGATACCAGGCTGAAAAGAACTGAGTATTTTTTTACTCCCATTTTCTGGCACAAAATGAAGTCAGAATACTTTATGATTTCTGCTTTTGAGAGTCACTGTTTTTCTTTTACTCAATATTTTCCCTTCTTTAAAATATATGTTTTAAAGGTCACTTCTTGGAATTTCACCCCATTTAGACTTGTATATTTGTATACTTAGGTCCTACCTGCCTAAGTGGAGAGGGTGCATATTGTGTTTTTTTTTTTTTAAATGACCGGCATATGAATTTACAAATAATGGCAGCCACAGCCCTTTCTACTCTATCTGATCTAGAGGTATCCAGCTAGTTTTCATTAAGGTCTTACTATGTGCCAGGCACTGGGATGGGTACTTTAAGACATGTTATCTTTGGATTTCTCATGACAAAACTGGCACTTAGTTATAACCGTGTCCCATTTCTAGTGGAGAAGCTAAAGCTTGGGGACTTTATGAACTCATTTAAGAATGTCGCGCCCGAAGGGCTATGCTGGAATTCAGCCCAGTTCTTCTGACCCCAGAGTTCATGGTCTTTCAATTAGAACATGAGACATTCACCCCTTTTCAGTGACAGTTGGTTAATGTTTGCCCAGGAAGGAAGAATATTAAAAGTAGTGATTAGACAGGGGAAAAAAAGAGACACCAATGAAACTTACCGAAATGTTAGTAGGCATCATTGCCAATACTTCTGCAGGAAAGAGGTATTGTTTAATTGATTTTAAAAAATAAATTATCAGAAGAAATAATGATTAGTCTTCATGGCCCTACAGTTCTACCCAGTTTTAAGTTAAATAGACCTACGTTGTTTTTTTTTTTTTTTTCTGGGAACTTAATAATCATTTGTTACTTGGCGTATATGGGAAAATGAATTCCTGATTTCTAAATAACCAATTTTAAAGAGAAATTTTGAGCCCCATCAATCTATAAATTGAGGACCACCTGTAAATAGATCATTTCATATTTGGAAAAAACTCTTATTTTTTTTCCCCCTTATTTCAACCAAAAGTCCACTAAACTATATTTAGATGGGGTAGAATAAAAATTGTTTAATCGTGTATTGTTTGAGGTTAATTAACGTAGATTTTTTTTTCCAACACTAGGTGTTAACATGTATCACCACTTCTGTGATTTTATCAATCTTTATCTCACTCAGCATGTCAATAACTCATTCAGTACAGATGTGCACATCGTGATGTGGGACACCGTGAGTAAGAATGTTCTCTCTGCTTCATGCTGTTTTTACTTTGCTCGGTCAGTGTGGGACCTGGATCTTGTGAAACAGGATTTTCTAAGACACACGTGTTTAAACGTACACACCCGTACACACATTTGTGTGTATGTAAATGGGTTGAATGTGTCTGTATATGTGCACTGACACGTACACACACACACACACACACACACATATAGGCAGATGGATGTACGTGTTTGTTCTTTGAATTATGTTCTTTGTTCTTTGAATTTTAGAATGAGGCAGTGGGAGGTTTCTTTCCCCTTTTGGGTAGAGGGAATTCCAAAGATCAAAGGTGCAGTGACTTTGGCTCAGTGTTGCCTTGAGACAGACATATGAAGACTGTCATTCGCTCAACCTCTGTAACCCACACTGGAAGAGCTTGCCTCTCTGTATTGTTTAGCCTCTTGCATTTACTGTCTGCCTTTGCTTAATGGCATCTTCCCTGTTACTACTTGCTTTGTGCCAAATTGCCCTGTGTGTTTCAGCTCACTGTACGCACAGCACCATGAGCTGTGGGTCCTAGGCATGCATGTAAATACATGCGTTGAATTACACCTGCTATTTATTGTTTTTAGTGCAGTCTTTTTTTCCTTCTTTTATTTTTTTGCCTGCGTTTTCCCTGCTTCTTCCTCTGTCTGGCCCCTCCATCTGCCAAGGTAACCCCAAGATGTGCCCCAGTATCCTTACCTGTGAAGTGGGATAATTGGAGTTCTTAGCTTGGTGTCATTTTGAGGATGAACCATATAGTGTGTGAAAAATCACAATGCCTGGCCCACAGCACAGGTGCTCTGAAGATTAAGTATGGCAATGACAATGACAAGGAAAGCAAGTGGTTTGTAGTGTACACGAGAGAGGTTGCCTACACTGGGAAGCTGGAACACTTGCCAAGGGGTCATCTAAGGTTCCACTAAACATTCTGACTCATTAGACACTTACACGCCCTACTCTTGGCATGAGTCTGGTCAGGATGCCATTGCAGGGATCAGTGCTTGCTGGCAGAGCTACGTCCAGCATTTCTTCCAGGGCCGATGCGAGCAGCTCACACAGCACAGCACGTGCACGGAGACAAGATCCACATGGGGCACCACGGGAGCTGCCTTGGCTTAGAGCTTCCTGTCCCACAGGGGGCAGCATCTCCTGTCTCAACTGCATTGGTGAAGCCCCAGGATCCCTGATAGAGACACGCCCAGTTCCAAGAGTCATTATCCTCAGGGAAGCCTAAACATGGCTTTCCCAGTCCAGATGCAATTTACCCACCTAGCATCTTTTTTGATCAGAAGCAACATTGCCTGGAAACGTGGTTGACACGTGCTGTCTTCATTTCCAGAGTGCAGAGCTAGCCAGTGAATGAATGGAAGGTCAGATTCTCCTGCAGGAGGGGGAAGAGTCTTGCTGACCCATTTTTCACAGATATGAGGCTTATAGCAGAGCTGTGTAGAAAGGTCTTCGTGATCACTGCTCCCTAGACCCTCAGGTTGATTCAAAGTCTGATGAGAATTGGTTCTGTGATTCTTGGCATGTTACTGCTTTCTTTTAGTTTCCCTCTTTGCTTGCATGTACATTTCCCTCTTGCGTTCCACTTTTGTTGCCCCTGCAGTTTCGTTTCTTGGAAACATTTCTGTGAACAAAAGGAGCAACAGTTCCTTTCTTTTATTCTTTTTGTAGAAGTGATTTCAGGGCACAACCACCAACTATCGCAAGCCCTGAATGATTAACTCAGGGTTGTTTTGCCCTTTTTAAAAAAATGACACCTAAAAAAAAAAAAAAAAGACGCCTGATGTTATCTCATTTAATGCTCACAACCCTCCCCTTCCCCCACGGACTTGAGGTTTAAATGAGCGTATTTTATAAACAGGAAGCTGAGGCCCAGCAGTGGTGCGTGTTCTAAAATAATACAGCCGGGAGAGGTGGAGCCAGGGATTCCGGTCCAGGCAGCCTGCCCCCAGACCTGTGCTCAGAAACCGCAGTGCTGGCCTTTCTAAAGTCCTCCGGAGAACCTGTTACCAGAAAGTGTCTCACATTCCAGAAGCTTCCTTGTACCTTGTTGTATGCTTTTCTACATCTTCCTCGATTGGACTAAGTTACATCAAGCCAGCTTCCACAGCCCTCCCTTCTCTGTGCCTGCTGGGTCGGAACGGGATGCACGGCCACCGTGAAGATCTTGAGCTACTTGGTTAGCGGGGCACGTGATGTTAGGGTAGTCCGGCCTCGACTCTGGCACAGACAAGCAGGATGGATGTGGCCGAGCCGGTTGGCTGCCTGATGTTCCCTCCCTCCTTTCCTACTCCCTGTGCATCCATTTTCACCTGCATTTAGTCAAAGTGGCCTTTGCTAATGACCCTGAGACTCAGTCAGGGTCTCAGGACAGGCAGCGCTGCCAGGTTGCTCCAGGATTCAGGCCCACAGAAGACTGCAGGTTGCATGGATAGTGCTAAGCGAGGGGTTGTGTGGTTGCTGTTTCTCTTTTGTCAGTAAGGCCTTAGATTAAGTGACACTGTGACCCACAGGCTGACTGTGACGCAAATCCCCCACGGTGGACGGTGGCCCCACAGTCAGTCCTGATGGCCCCAGATGAGCAGTTTGCCCAGGGGAAAAGCAGGGAGGTAGCTGTGACTGCAGTTCAGATCTTGGTGACATTTTATAGACTGTCCGCACAAAGAGGCCTATGAGGCCTTCCCTCTCCTCGTTGCCAGGCTCAGTGGTTTGGCTCCTCCCTTTAGCACGCAGCCTCCTCAGTGGGGTGGGCGGGGCCACCCAACTCCAAAGATGCACAGAGGGACCATGCTTAGACGCCTGTCTGGGCATAGCAGGGTTGCTTTTGTTAAATGGAACGAATAAAAGGCGAGATTACTGTGGATTTTCCACATTGTCTTGTGCTGCGAAGTAGTAGCTTTATTATTACATTTTTAATTATGCAACTACTACCTGATTATAATGAGTTCAAACAACACAGAAGTATGTGAAGTTTAAAAACAGTCTCCTTCTTTCTTCTTCTCCAATTCCATTTTCTCCCAAGGGTAACTGCAGTCAATATGTGTGTGAGTCCCTTGCAAGACTTCTTTATTTTAATAAATGCAAATATAGCCTTACATAAAATTTACATATAAGGATTTGTATCAGGACATATGTGTATATATATAAAATTTGTATAAGGATATGTTTATATCCTTGTAGAAACTATATTCTCTCTTTCATTCTGCTACCTTAATATTATCTCATGGACATCTTTCCAAGTGAGTACGTTTAGGGTTATCCTTCTGTTCACAGTTACATGGCATCCTATTCAATGGCTATTTTGGAAGTTCAATGCATGCACCAGTGTGTGTGTTCGTTGTCCCTACCCCAATCACAGTTAGCTTGTTTCCAGTTCTTTGCTAATTCACTAAAATGCGACAGTAAACATCCTTTCCATATACCTATATCTTCACACACTCATCCTAGCATTTCTGTGGGACACGTTCCTATAAGTAGAATTTCTAAGTCATGGGTTATGTGCATGTTGAAATTTGAGACATGGGAGAAAAGTTTATGTCATCTTGAAGAATATACAAATATTTTTCAATATGAGAGTAAGAAGTCGTCCCTCCTTCCTCTGTGGTAGATAATTTGAATTTGGGGAAAATGGAAAAGAAGCTTCTAGAGTGGTTATTATTGAATAATATATAATTTCCCTGAGAAGGGATCAGTCAGGATTACAATGTATTATTATTAAAATTTCCTTTCAAAGGAAATTTTACTTTATCTGATGTATTTTGTCTCAAGAAACTGTCTAGAATCACTTCTTTTAATTGCTCTTTATTTATTATTGAGCCAGAACAGGAACATTTCATTTTAGTTGGTGTTGAGAAGGGCCTTTATTAGAACAGCAATTAGAGAACATTGAAGGAAAGAATTTTTTTTTTTCATCACCACATCTAACAGTTCTCAATAACTTGGAAATAGCTATAAAATGTGCAACATAAAATTTTTACCAGATGTGGTGGCTCACACCTGTAATCCTAGCACTCTGGGAGGCTGAGGCGGGAGGATTGCTTGAGGTCAGGAGTTCAAGACCAGCCTGAGCAAAAGCGAGACCCCATCTCTACTAAAAATAGAAAAATTAGCTGGGCACGATGGCACGCACCTGTAGTTTCAGCTACTTGGGAGGCTGAGGTAGGAGGATCGCTTGAGCCCAGGAATCTGAGGTTGCAGTGAGCTATGATGATGCCACTGCACTTTAGCCAGGGTGACATGAGATTCTGTGAAAAAAAAAAAAATCAAAATCTGAAGAAAGAATGCTATAAAGATAAAAAGACATGAACATAATGAACACAATGTACGACTAACTGTAGACCTTAAATGTAATCCTACAATGCTTATTTCTTATTTCTGTTGGCTGAATTTTTCAATCTAAGTTACACAATTTAAAAACAAATTGATCTCCTTCCTTTTAGCTGGTAGAGCTCATAATTAACTTTTACTTTTCAAAAAGAAAATGCATTCGGTAAATATGCTTAAAAGGACTAGTTCTGGCTGAGAGGCAGAGAGGAAGCTGCCAGAAGGAGCTTAGGAGCATGAAGTCCAGCACCATAGACTGGGTTGAATCCCAGCTCCGTGACTCACCAGCTCTACAATTTAGGCCAATTACTTAAATTTGTGTCTGTTTCCTCATCTGTAAAATAGGAATAATGATATTACCTAGGTCGTTAGGCTTGTGGGGTGGCTTATTGTAAGTTCATAATGCCAAGTGCTCCGAAACAGTGCCTGGGACACAGAAGTGTGCAGGATGCTATTGTTTTTATATAATATTGTTAGTATTATTAACATTATTAATGGGGAATTACCATGTTATTCACTAGTCAGTGGGGAGAATATTCCATGGAGTTGTAGACATAATATTTTTAATGTTAAAATTTTCAAGCCATTTTCTTGCTCTGAAATTTCTTTCCAAAGCATATTCCATTCACCCTGATGGTTTTTGCTCACTGAGCATATCAGAGTGTGTCCAAGTGCTGGCATATGTATGTGTTGTATGGACCTGTGATTTGCATAGAAGATTCCCAGAAAAAAACCCACAACAACTACAATTTCAAAGACATAAGGAAAAGGGTTAAGGAGGAAAAACAAAAATACTGTTAGCAGACTAAAAGTATAATTATGATGATTATTTCTGATGATAGTTCATCAAATTAGGCATGTGCTTGGGCCCAAGATGAAGATCCATTTTGCTAATATGGGTTTCATGAGTTTACTTAGGATCCTTAGTTTTTAATACAAACTGGCAAATCCAGGTATTTTGTCGCATCTTTGAAAAGCCATGTTGTATTCCTTTTATTGCCCTAACTTACTTTGTTCCTACCTTCAGAGCTCATATGGATATGGTGACCTGTTCTCCGACACGTGGAAAGCCTTTACTGATTATGATGTTATACATTTGAAAACGTACGATTCCAAAAGGGTACTGGAAATTTTACTGCAATGTCTGTAACTAACTCTCATGTGCAGATGATTCACTCATAAGATAAATATTTAATATGAGTTTCTATGAACTATTACCATTGGTTCGACTTCTTAATTTCTTTTATTGGAACTAAAATTCTCATTGTTACTAATCATGTAGCTTTTAAAAATGTTTTTTTCATAACTTTTCCAAAAATTTGAATTTTCGTCTATCTGAATGAAATAGTTTGCTGTTCAAACTATTTTAATGGAAAATGGAGAATAATGAAAACCTATTTTCCAAAATTATAAGTGCTATTTTGGTGCGAAGGGTACAAATTATATTCTTTTATCTTTTAATGTGTCTTCATTCTTAGGTATGTTTTAAAGAAGCTGTTTTTTCATTACTCCCCCGCATGAGGTACGGGCTGTTCTATAACACTCCTCTGGTAAGCATGTTGGCCACTGGTAACACTCATATTCATAGACTTTAGGTTTTAAGATAATATTTATACGTAATTTGAAAGCATCTTAAATTGCGGTATAGAAATATTCATTGTAATATGAATTGGTGTCTTTATTTTAGATATCTGGCTGTCAAAACACTGGATTATTCAGGGCATTTTCCCAGCATGTACTACACAGACTAAACATCACACAAGAGGGACCCAAGGTAATGGATACATTGTAGGTTCTGAGGTGGGTTTGAGTTTTCATCTTTAATAAAAGTCGATACCATCTTTTCAGTAAAAAGAAATAATCAGGAGACTCTTTCCTGTTTCTTTTTTTCTTATTATTGCAATAGATTTAGAGGGTACAACTGATTTTTTGTTACATGGATGAATTGTATGGTGGTGAAGTCAGGGCTTTTTAGTGTACCCGTCACCGAGAAGTGTGAAATATGGAGCCTGTTTATTTTTTATCTGTGAAAATCACATTTTAAGTTCAGATGCTCATTCCCCTGTCCAGGCATATACGGAGTTATTTTGCCCTTTCATTTTGATTGCAGGATGGAAAAATTCGAGTCACCATTCTTGCACGGAGCACCGAATACCGGAAAATCCTAAACCAAAATGAGGTTAGTTTTTGGTATACATTTTTAATATCTTCATATTGAATTTACCTTCCCATAACTACCGTGCTTTATTTTTTTCACATTGTACTAAAAGCCTTGAGTTGAAACTGTTAGTTTTAAGGGAAATTTGATGGCCTATGCCCAGTTCATTTATTGGATTTGAATTTCTAGTGGAAGTCCCCAAACCACCCACTGCCTAAACTAGCTTTGCCTTACTGTAAACATTCATCTGCACCAGCTCAGAAACAGAGACATAAGCTGAGTCCTGCCTTTACTGCAATAGATTGTTAAACATTTGCCCTCCTGACAAATGAGAAACAAAAATGCAAGAGTGTCTTTTGCGAGATGGTTGATGGCGTGGGGCAGACCTGTGGCATTGGCAGCTGATTAAGCTGGAAGAGTCTCCGTCCTCTTTCATGTCTCTGTGTCTTAGACACTGTTCACATCTTAGGCATCCCAACTCATCTCACCTGTACCAACTCATAAATTATACTTAACCTCAATGAGATCACCTTGCAAGGCCCCTGCCTACAACATCATGGCCTCAAGATAGCCTCACACTAGTCAAATTTATTCCACAAAAGTAAATTGAGCATCTGCTATGTGCTGGGCTTGTGTTCTAGGCCCTGGAGATAAAAGAAAGACAGGGAAGGTCCCTGCGCTTATGGAGCTTCCATCCTAGAGGGGAGAGGCAGATAAGAAATAAGTAAATAAGTCAATAAGTGTGGTGATTCCAGGCAGTGATGAGTGCCCTGAAGGAAAGGAACCAGGGTGACATGATACAGTCTGGGGCCACAGATGGAAGAGGGAGGCACTCGGGCAGGGCGTTCAAAGAGGTGCTGCTTGGACTGTGACCTGATCGGAGAAGAATTGAGCCAGGGAAGGAAGCTCCCAGGCAGAGGCAAATATCCACTGGTGGATGGAGCTTTAAGAGTTGTGGGAATGGAGAGAGTTGCAGTGTGGCGGTAGCATCATGAGAGAGGTGGGTGATGCCATAACTGCTCAGAGACATCGGGCAAGGTGCAGGGAGGCCACAGATCGTATCGACCTCCTAGATGTTGGTGAGGACACAGATTTTATTCCAGTGTGAGTGGAAACCACTATGAGGTTTCAAGCAGGGTGTGGTAGGCAGAATAATGTCTTCTCCTCCTGTCAAAAGATGTCCACGTCCGAATCCTGGAATCTCTGAATAGGTTATAGGTTGCAAGGCAAAGCAAAATTAAGGTTGCGGTTGGAATTAAGGTCACCAATTAGCTACCTTAAAATAAGATTATCCCGGGTTATCCACGTGAGCCCAGTGTAATTACAAACGGGTCTTAAACTCCGTCCACCACTTCTGCCTCTGCCTCTGCCTGCAAAGCTCTTTTCTTAGCTAAATTCTTCTCACTGCTCAGCTCTCAATTCATCATTTCCTTAAAAGTGACAGAGGAGGCAGGAAAGAGAGTCGGAGAAAGAGATGTGATGAGGGATTCGGGGCCAGAGAGACGCTGACTTTGAAGATTGAGGGAGGGGCTGCAAGGCACGGAGTGCGGACGGCTCCTAGGAGCTGGAGAAGGCAAGAGAGTGGCTTCTCCCCTAGACTAGCGCCCCCAGGAGGAACGCAGCCCTGCCGACACCGATGTTACCCCAGTGAGACCCGTGTCTGACTTTAATCCTGGAGAACGGTGAAGGAATGAATTGTTGTTTTAAGATGCTACGTTGGTGGTAATTTGTTACAGCAGCAAATAGAACATAAATACACAGGGAGAGATGCAAACTGACTTATTATTTATTTTTAAGTCATTCTGGCTGCAGGAGTGGGAGCAGGGAGGCTGATTAGGTGCTGTTCCTGTGGCCCAAGGGGGAGAGTTTGGATGAAGGTGATGACAGTAGAGATGACAAAATAGATTGGAGATATGTTTTGGAGATAGGAACTGTGATTCTTAACTTTTGGAATGTAAAAGTACATTTGCATAAGGTAAGGCCAGGAAAGGTATTAAGGATCAAGTGTGACTCCAGGCTTTTAGCTTAAGCAGTTAAGTGGAATTGAAATGGAAAAAACTTAGTAAGAGGAAAGGGGCGGGGGCAGGTTTTGATGGATAAAAAATTTTATACAGATTAATTTGGATGCCCAACAGGCTGATCAAAATTATGTAATTAGCATCTCTTCCCAAGACCCATATGGATTATGAAGGACGTGAACATATGGCATAGTAAGGTGTTGATTGTAAACTCTGGATGGAAGAAATGAGCAGGGTGTGTGTGTGTGTGTGTGTGTGTGTGTGTGTGTGTGTTTAATGACCTAGAAATAAAAATGTATCAAATAATTCACTGTTGGGTAGGTAGACGGGAAGCCTCATAGCTGACAGATCAATGGTAGATAGCGGTGTGGGTCCCACATATTGAGTGCTGATTGTGCACCGAGCATATTACTATGTGTTTCCCAGGCATTTTTGTCCCCCAACCCTCTCAGCAAACCCATGAGGTAGGTATTGTGTTATTATCCTCTGATCTAGACAAGAACACTGAGCTCAGAGGTTAAAAAAACATGCCTAAGCTCACCCAGCTATTGAGCAGAGTAACAGGAGGTGTAAGTCCAGATAGTCTGGGTTTGAGATGGTTTTCTTAACTGTGTGAACAGCAAACAGATCTCAGGGGAGGCGGAATCTACCTGTGATCTTAGCCTATCAGGACGGGGCAGGCTAAGGGACAGCATCAAGCCAGTGGAGAGAAGTCCAGTGGAAAGGCAGAGTGCCGGCGTGTGCCATGGTGCTACGGTGCTACGTGACGTTTTCAGATCCAGTCACGCAGGCTGTCCAGATGGTATTGCCCAAAGGCGAGATCTGGTAATTCAGCTCCCATCTTCAAGCCAAAGAGCACCCAACTGGCTGCCTTTCTCCCGAGGATTGGACATCACCGAAAAGGCAGCTCCCGGGCAGGAAAGAAAGCACCTTGGACTATACTTTGATTAGTGAATAGATAATACAATTCAAATGGCCTCATTAAGTGATGGATTATGGAATCCTGCCCAACTTCAGGGTTTGAACAGTCGCATCAGAAGGGATATGGGCACCTCTCTGGTGCGACTAGAAATTGTGAAAAAGGGCACACTTGCCCTGGGACTCTCCGAGCACGCGATTCCTTTTATGTGGGCACATCTCATTAAAGACCAGGCTTATGCCGTCTGATTAATTCTCTCCTGGAAAACAGAATTCTAATATTCTCTTCTCACTCCTCCATCTCTTTGATATAAGCAGTATATTCATGTGTGTTCAGGGGCTGACTAGAGGAAGAGATTTCCATTTTATGACTGTGTGTGTGTGTGTGTGTGTGTGTGTGTGTGTGTGTGTGTAACAGGGCTGGGGATTATTAGATCTTGGTCACTGTATGTTGCTCTCTATAACCAGGCAGTAGAGCGTACTGGTTAAAAACACAGGTTTTGGGGTCAGAAGACCTAGATTTAATTTTGGCTCTGCATTTGCAAGCTGGGAGATCCTGGGAAAGTGATCTAACTTCTCTAAGCCTTTGCTGTCTCATTTATAAAATGAGCATAATACTAATACTTACTAGCTATAACTTTTTTGAGGATTAAGTGAAGTAGACCTAAAGCACTTAGAAATGCCAGCACAATTTAAATGCCCAGTCAGTGATACTCATAACCATTGAAGTTGCTGTTGGGGTGTAGTGTATGCCACAGAGCAACATGATACAAATACTGAAATTTCTGGATGGTGGTGATCCATGGTGCCTCATTGTGAGGGACATAAAGAGCCATGACTATGTTTTTTTTTTTTTTTTGAGACAGAGTCTCACTGTGTTGCCTGGGCTAGAGTGCCGTGGCGTCATCCTAGCTCACAGCAACCTCAAACTCCTGGGCTCAAGCAATCCTCCTGCCCCAGCCTCCCGAGTAGCTGGGACTACAGGCATGCGCCACCATGCCGGGCTAGTTTTTTCTATGTATTTTTAGTTGTCCAATTAATTTCTTTCCAATTTTAGTAGAGACGGGGTCTCGCTCTTGCTCAGGCTGGTTTCGAACTCCTGAGCTGAAACAATCCGCCCGCCTCGGCCTCCCAGAGAGCTAGGATTACAGACGTGAGCCACCGCGCCCGGCCATGACTATGTTTAAGATAATGGATTAATCATGCTTTGTTATTTTCTGTTTGCTTGTAGAATAATTGTTTTTCTATATAGAAACATTGAAAATGTTTTTCTGCCAAGACTTTAGTATTTTCAGAGGATGGGGTCCACAGTGCTAGCGATTTGTCTGAAATGAGATAATGGTTGGGAAGAAAACTCGTAACATAATGTGGCAGGAATGTGGCAAGTGTTCAAAACTGTATGATAAAAGTCGAAGGAATGAATAACCAGCCAATGGTAATAATAGCAGTTGACACAGTGTGTTTCTGTGCTCAGCACTTTGCTCCCACAAATTTTCTCCTTTCAGCCTCATAACAACCCAGTGCATTGGAATTTTAGGGAGGTGACGTGTTCAGGGGTGGAGCCTGAATTTGAACTCAATTAAGGTTCAAAACAATTGACCTTAAGGGTATTAATGGCTGAAAAATAATACATGCAAAAAGGAAGAAATTTTAGAACTCATAAAGGAAAGTTAAAACAGAAGAGAAGGAAGGAAAAGAAATTCTAAATGTTTCTCTCTTTTTCCCAGCTTGTAAACGCACTGAAAACGGTATCTATGTTTGAAGTCCAGATTGTTGATTACAAGTACAAGTAAGTAATAACTCTTGGGCAGACACTGTCGACTTTTGCTTGGATGAGTTTATGGGGGACAGAAAGCATTTCTCCAGTGGGAGCCGGTGGCACTTATAGACCCAGAAGGGACAAGCAGACATTGTCAATGAATGACGTGGGCAGGTGTGGGCCCCGGGCGCAGGGGGATGTTGCCGTTCAGGTTTCTGGGACCTGATATTGTGACACTACCTTGTTTTTCGAGAGAAGTAATGAATCCAGATTTTCACTTGAAATTTCTGATGTTTTTAAAAGTTGGCAACTAGTTTTGAATTTTAAAAAATGTTACAGGCCTAATTTGCCCTGCTAGCTGCCAGGTTTCAACCTCTGACCTAAAATTATTTCTGTAGGAATAATTTGAGGGTCATAGAATAACATGAGATTTCTTTAAAGTCTTATCAAATATTTACATTTCTTTTAAAGTTCTGATATAACTAAAAGGCTTAGAAAAACAGAATATGTCTATTATTCACTATCTAGCTAATTCCTATTCCTGGAATTACATGTTCCTGGTAAAAAGTCGTACATGTTCCTCGTTTAAAAAGTTAAGCAATGTAGAAAGGATCAAAAGGAAAAGTGAAAACATTTGTCTCCGCCCTCACCCACCCACAATCACAGTTGTGTTTTCCAAATTTAACACTATGCATAGTTTCTATTTTTTTTAAAGTGTACATATCCTAGCATGTGAGTATCTAGTATAGATACACTTATGCAGAGAATGTAAGCTTGGGAGCTTTGCACCTCATTCATCACACATTCGTTCATTTCTACGAGGAATCTTTATTTATTGGGGACTTAACCATGAGCTGGTCACCAGGCTTGGCAGTCGCAATCTAGCTGTGGAGGGTGGCGGGGCTCTTGTCCTGAGGACCCCAGACTCTGAATGCAGATAAACAGTGATCGCCAGAACAGCTGCCATTTGAGACTTAATGATTGTGCTTTACCTCCTTTATCTCATTGCCTGCTTTCAACAGTCCTCTGAGGTTGGCAAAGCTATTCCCGTTTCACAAATTATACCCTGCTGTGCCGACTACCCTCACTGCCACAGGAAGAGTGGGAGCCAAGGTGGGACCCCGCATCAGCCTGAAAGATCTGGGACGGGTATCCCGGAGGCTGTGTCACTGACTGGCTTTTAAGGATATGTAGGAGTTTCCAGATGAAGCAAGAATGACATAAATTCGTGCCTTGCCGATCTGAGGGCAATGTTAGTAACACGTTAGCATGGGGGATTTGTGAGTCTAATGTAATACACAGGCAGATCCCACAAATGGCAACTCTGGGGGTGTGTTGACCTGGGCAAATGGCCATCGTTCACTCAGCATCGGTTCACATTCCTGGAGAAACTAAGGCACATGTTCCTGGTGCCACACACACACACAAACACACACACACACGCACACACACGCACACACATACACACACAAACAGAGCTGTTGTCTTCCTTTTCCTGTGAGGGTTTTTGTTGCTAGCTGATAGAAGGAATTCACCTTCCCTTCTTACATCCAAAATAATCTTGCTCACTTATTTTTCTTTGCTTTGAGTAAAGTGGGACTGGGAGGTCTCATTCCATTCCGTTTATTCAGACTGTCACCCTTATGCCAGCATTTCTTCCTAGCCTCATGTCAATGAACTGTTTTGGGACTGATTTTCGGTTCAGAGTTTGCACATCTGTCAGTATCTCGGATTTAAAGAACATTCGTACTATCTGAACAAGCATACGATTGTGGACTATTCTGTTGCAAAGGTAGAATAACGTCCTGGTGGTATCTGAGATCATTTTAGGTGTACTCAGATAGCATTGAGTAACTGAAATCACACAGGGAGTAATTTATTTTCTTTTTCAAATTTATTTTCAAATTTATTTTCTTTTTCTTCTTCATCCTTTTGTTATGTTTAGGAAGTAGGTATTAGTTTGGTGCCACCATGTCACAGCATCTCTTTAACACTTGCTAATTTCCCTTTTTCATGAAGAGAGAGCAGGGCTCAGGCTCAGAGCTTTGTCTTGCAGTGTCTAGCCAGATTCGAATACTCTGTAGTTTGATCATATCTATTTTTACAGTTTTGTTGATATCATGTGTTACTAGTTTTACATTTAAGACAGCTATTAAAGTTTCCTTTAAAAATAAATGTACTTTAGCCTCAAATGGTAGGTGAGCTACTTAGAAAAACATGTTACATTATTAAGAAAATGTTATTAATTACTATAGTGTGCTTGAAATTGGCAAAAAAGCATAAAGCAGGATTGTGATTTAAAACAGGAAATACACTTGTATAAATATTGTTGCCTTGAATCACGAGCTAACTCAACCTAATACTTACCTCTTCTCCCCATCTCTCTTGTGTTGTTCTATATGTTCACAGAGAACTTGGCTTTCTGGATCAACTAAGGATCACACACAACACAGACATATTTATTGGAATGCATGGAGCTGGTCTTACCCATTTACTTTTCCTTCCAGACTGGGCTGCTGTATTCGAACTGTAAGTGTTTGGGGGCGGTTTTACACTGAGGCAGCTACTAATGCTTTTTATGCATGCCAAGACTTTCATTCTGAGCATCAAAAGGCTTAATATTTAATCATTAGAGAGAAGTCATATCACATAGGCATTTGGAAAGAAAAAAGACCTAAAGCTAAAAATGTAAAGTCTGCAGCCCGCCTTTGCACTTAGTAAGCAAACTACCTCTTCCTCTTACCATCCCCAGCATGATAGAGAAGATGTGAATCTTTGCTGTCTCTACTCTGAGTTTGTTCTCAAGTGCCTCTCAAACTGTGAGCATCTCCCTGCAATCAGTATAATTACTGTGTTAAAAGAGAACCTGTATGTCTTGTGCACAACGTAGCTCTAAAACACAAGCCAACCACTTCACCTAGTGCTCGCTGATGCCATACACAGGGAAGCTGAGGTCCATGAGAGTACATGATCTGCCCAGGGCATGCCTCTAACTTGGTGGCTGGTTATGGAGACGTGGCCTTCCCTCCCTTAATAATTTTACTCTTGACACCACCTCCCATTTTAGTGGTTTTTGATTGTTTGTGTTTTTGAGACAGGGTCTTGCTCTGTCACCCCAGCTAGAGTGCAGTGACATCATAGTTCACTGCAGCCTCAAACTCCTGGGCTCAAGCAATCCTCCTGCCTCAGCCTCCCAAGTAGCTGGGACTATAGACATGTACCACCATACCTGGCTAATTTTTCTATTTTTGGAGAGACAGGGTCTCGCTGTTTTGCCCAGGCTGGTCTCAAACTCCTGGCCTCAAGTGATCTTCCTGCCTCAACCTCCCAAAGTGATAGGAATTACAGATGTGAGCCACCACGCCTGGCCTCCATTTTAGTTCTTGGCACACTAATAGCAGTTACTGTTACCTGGTTTTTCCCCTTCGTGTCTAGGTATCTGGATTCTATGGTTTCATTTTAAAAATAACTTGACTCAGTACTTAAATAGGAGGCAATTTAGGATAAAAGTCATGAATTTCTAACTCTCTGGAGACATTTAAGAAATATATACAGTATATGTTAGAGAAATAAGTGTGGATTCTGTCTCCATTCATTTCTCCTGGAGAGAGAGAGGGGGAAGAATGGAAGGAAAGAGGGAGGAAGGGAGAGTAACGTAACTGAGAAAGCTCAGGCCTCAGAGTCCAATAGACCTGGGTTCAATTTTACTTCCTTCGCTAACTAGGTGTATGACCTTGGAAGTATTACCTACCCCTGTCCATTTCCATGTGTGTGAAGACAAGGTATTATGGGGTAATAGCAAGTTCAAAGCAAGCAGACCCTATTAAATAAAGTCAATCCCCTTCATTCCTTGATCCCATTCGGTTTTTAAAAAGCTAAGGTCGTTTAGTTCAGAGAATATTCTTAAATTCTCTTTCTCAGTCTTGTTTACTGTGTATACCACCTTTGGCGAGGACGCATTTGGGAGGTGCCTTTTCCTCCCAGAGAATTGTCGATTGGGCAAAAACCCCGGACAAAAGCTTCACGTTGCGACACCCTCGTGTGTCTGCAGGTACAACTGTGAAGACGAGCGCTGTTACCTAGACTTGGCCAGGCTGAGAGGCGTCCACTACATCACTTGGCGAAGGCAGAACAAAGTCTTTCCTCAGGATAAGGTAAATTTCAATCACAAAACTCACCTTGTTTCACTTTTAATTTGTTCGAAGTGTCTACTTATTAATAGGAAAAACAATCATTGAACTTCGGAGATAAACTGTTCTTCTCTGGAATAGTGGGTTGTATTTTATATTTGCAAACTGAGAAAAAGGGAAATTAAACACTCTATATCTTTAATGTTACTAAGACACCTTTGTGAAATTTGGGCCTAGAAAGATCTATTAGATCATATATAGCAGGGATCAACAAACTATAGCCCGGTGGGGCAAATCCGGCCTACTGCCTGCTTTTGTAAACAAAGGACCGTCATGCTTATCTGTTTATGCATTGTCTGTAGCTGCTTGTGGACTCCAGTGACAGAGTTGAGTAACTGTGACCAAGACCTTAGAGTCAGCAGAGCTGAAAATATTTATTATTTCACCCTTAACAGAAAAAGTTTGCTGACCTCTTATGTAGAGCATAAATTAGTTGCCTTAGCTAAAGAAAAATAACTTTCTGCCTGTAGAGAAAACCATGCCCTCAATGAGTTATGGATGTGTGTTTTGGATTGTTTGTGCAGGGCCACCATCCAACTCTGGGGGAACACCCGAAGTTTACCAACTACTCTTTCGATGTAGAAGAATTTATGTACCTTGTCCTGAGTGCTGCAGACCACGTATTGCAACACCCAAAGTGGCCATTTAAGAAGAAACGCGATGAGCTATAAATGTGTTGAGTCTGTTTGTTGAGTCTGTTGAGAGTGTTCAAACATCCCAACGCCCAGACTCATGATTAAATCAGCAAACAACCTATTATTTCCTAGCCCCAAATTACCTTTTCTATACCAAAACACACCTTCAGGGTATTGTTACGTGTTTTATAGTATTTAAGTGTTAAGTGATTTTTTTGTGATATTGCTGTTTATCAATAGCAATAATAAATTTGCACTGAAAGCTTTACTTTTTGTAGTTCAACAATCAG